CTTTGGCATGCGGGGTGTGCCCACACCTATTTGGAATACATATCTGCATCACATCTAGAAGAACCACAGTTATGGTAAATAAACGTTTCTTTTTCTAGAGTTACGGGCCCTCTGCTGAAAAGGTCCTGCCCCAGACATTCAGACATAGGAACTTTAGTGTAAACTTATCTGATGAACTTATCTGCCTTGACAGTACAAAGGATGAGAAGCATGTTCCCAGACAGCCAGTAGCTAAATCATATCATGACCCAAACATATGAATCTCTTGTGGACATAAATATATTACTGCTTTACTAAAACTCTTTTGATGCCATCTCTCACAATTAATTTATAGCAATAAATGAAGCAAGATATCAGATGGTCAGGCAGATTTTTTTTTTAAATTAACAGTACCCTGTAACACATGGACATAAACAAAATCAATGACAAATTAAATTCTGCATTACTACCCTCCTGGTGTAACCCATGCTAACACAATGTGGCTTATTGTCCCCTTCTAGTGGCTAGCTCATGTATGGACACTTATGAGACTGCTACTGAATCTAAGCTAAATGACCTGCTTTGTTAGCTGAAGCTGTATAGACACATTTTGTACCAAGGCCCAGAGATTAGTCCTTGTATACCACCTGACCAGGAGTGCCATTTCATGTATTACAAGTGGTGGCTCATACAGTGACTCGAACAATTGTAGGTTTCTGAAGCTTGGGAGGAATTTCTGTGTTGAGATGGAGTGTGTAGCGACACTAACACAGCGTGTCTCTTTGTTCTCTCTAGTAGCTAGACCAAGTATGGAGATTTGAGTCTGCTGCTGGTCCTGAGCTAATGGACTTGGTCCGTTAGCTCAAGTAGAGGCCTATACTGTTACATCCAGAAGTCCTGAATGTAATCCCTGCATTTGATGCAGCAATCATTACACTGGATCTATAATCCTCACCACCCCGTCAGCCCTCTGAGAACAGTCAGAACTCCACCAAAATGGCTGTTCTTGTCAGTCTCTTGTGACTTTTCCCCTGACTAGGTTAAACTCTGCCCACAAACTTCCAAGAAAACCGATTTGAGGGATCATGAACCTTTCAAGGTTTACAGTGGCATTAAAGGAGAAAGAAGGAAAATGATATTAGTGTGTTGAATATTCAACCAAGCAAGACTCTTCACATTGGCTTCCAATGCACCCTTCAAACTCTAAATGAAGTCGGTGGGAATTGTAATATTTTAAAAATGTATATCGCAGATAAAAAGGTATACAATACATTGTGTCCTGTATGATGAGTAACTACTGTACTTTTCTATAGGTTTCAGAGTAGCAGCCGTGTTAGTCTGTGTCCGCAAAAAGAAAAGGAGGACTTGTGGCACCTTAGAGACTAACAAATTTATTTGAGCATAAGCTTTCGTGAGCTACAGCTCACTTCATCGGATTTTCAGTGGCAAATACAGTGGGGAGATTTATATACTCAGAGAACATGAAACAATGGGTGTTACCATACACACTGTAAGGAGAGTGATCAGGTAAGGTGAGCTATTACCAGCAGGAGAGCGGGGGGGGGGGAGGGAGAGGGGAAGGGGTCTTTTGTAGTGATAATCAAGGTGGGCCATTTCCAGCAGTTGACAAGAACGTCTCAGAAACAGCGGGAATAAACATGGGGAAATAGTTTTACTTTGTGTAGTGACCCATCCACTCCCAGTCTTTATTCAAGCCTAAGTTAATTGTGTCCAGTTTGCAAATTAATTCCAATTCAGCCGTCTGTCATTGGAGTCTATTTTTGAAGTTTTTTTGTTGAAGAATTGCCACTTTTAGGTCAGTAATTGAGTGACCAAAGAGTACTTTTCTATGTGAGGAGAGCAGTACTATTTTATCATTAATGCAATAGGACATAGCTATGTGGGAGTCCATGTAATTCCATTCAAAGTTCTTAACAGCAGAACTGAACAAACAATAGAAAACATTTTTATGAAAATATTTGCCAAATAATCATCCATTTTGTTTAAATCTGTAATTTTAGTCAAAACTTCAAAAACTCAATTTTGACTACTTTGTAGCAAGTAAAAAAAATCAGATTTTAGTGTTTGAAAAAGTCATCCTGTTTTTTTGGGAGGACGGGGGTCCGGTGTCAGAATTTGAAATTCTGAAGTCAAATTCTGAAAAGTTTCAATGAGCTCTGCTTAATGAATTGTTGCCCATGATTCTATATGCTCTGATTTATGCCATTATCTAGGTTTCTTTGATAACTTTGAGCTACAGTTTCCTGATGACCCTTCCGAGTCTTTCCATATTGTCAGTGCCCATTGTTTTCCTAATACAACTACTGGAGTTTTAACTAGATGGAAAGGTATGCCACTTTGGAGTATGCGAAGACTTGAAACTAAGGAGACCCCGGTTCTCTGCCCAGTCTGCCGCTGACTTGATGTGTGACTTTGTGCAGGTCACTTAACTTTCTTCATTTGGAAAATGCTGATAATGAAATCTTTGTAAAGTACTTTAAGATCTCTGGATGATAAATGCTAAAAATATTACCTAGGCTTTTGGGAATCTGATATTTCATGTCTCATGGGGGGACAGATTTAGGGAAAGGTATTGCTGGGCTGTGAAAAGAGCGGGAGATAGATCTCTTGAGCATATTAATTCATCCTGCGCAATAAAGGGAGATGTGAAGTAACCGATCTCTCCCCAAAGAAACAATAGAGGTGAAACTGACCCGTATGCCACCCATTGTCAACTTGGAATAGCTATGTCCTTTTAAGGACTGAAATGCCACACTAGTTTTATCCCTCTCCCCTTTTCTCCTCCTAAAAACATATACCAGAGCCTCATCTATATATGCCAATATTTTGAGATAAGAGTCTGGATCATAATTATAATTAATCATAAATAATAAACCAAAGTAGGTTGAACCATCAAGTCATTTGAGATCAAAATATTAAATTTTCAATTGATTTAACATGACATCCCCTCCCCCAGTTGATTTGAAGTTGATTTGACCCTCAGGCACTTCTGCTGCAGTTTGCATTGTCGTGGAGATCTTTTAATAGACTTAGTCAATGTCTCCGGGATTCCTTTCTCTTTAATCTCAGGGTGCCAATGGGTTCAGCTTCTCCGCTAACCCACCCCACAAGGGAGCTCTGCCAAACCTGATCTCCCCGCTTCTGTTCAACCCCCATCCCCAACCACTTTTAACCTCGTATGGTTAATACGAGTGTTTCCCTATGCGAGTGTATTTGGTCTGTGCACAAGCGATCGCCATTACAGCCTCGGGCAAATTAAGCGGCTAATGAATTTTCTGTCGGCCACGGAAGTAATTAAGCTGTGTACTGTGGGGCCGATTAAGCTGCAAGTCACAGCAACCCGAGCCCAATCGCAGCGAGTCAGTCGCGCGTCTGTACTGCCGGCTTTTTGCTGCACAATGGAATCATTGACTATTTATTTACTCTGCACAAGAAGTCTGCTGTTTACTTAATTACAGGAGCTTTTCAGCTCCCAAAAAAACTAACTCTTTGAGGTCCCTCCGCCCCACCGCCCCCTGGAAACCAGCTCATTGATTGCAGCTGGAGATTGTTTCTGTAATTTTTAAGCAGCTCTTTTTGGGGGGGGGGGGGAGTGTAAACAGCACTTCATGAGAGGCAACATCTGTAATACTGCAGGTCGCACCCCAGGTAGGAAGCAGAACCCTGGGGAAGATAGGAGAGCCGGGGAATTCCTCTAAAGCTTCCAGGCATAGCTGAGCTGGAAATCAAGAACGCAGGGGGAAGCTACAGTTAGGAAAGCAGGAGAATTCCTGTCATGCTTCCACGTAGGTCTCAAGTGGGAGGCAGAAAACAGGGGGAGAATGGGAAACTCCTGTCATGCTGCATAGAGACCTGAACAGGGGAGAGCAGAATGCATGGAATTCCTGCAGCGCTGCTTTAAAGCAGGGCAGGGCTCGGGCTTGCTGGCTGGGCAAGTGGGACAGGCTCCTTTGCTTCTACAGTTAATTTCTGAGCTTTAGACCTATCAGAAGCGAGCTCCAGTAATGTTGCGGATCAGGTCGCGTTAGGGAGCAAGTCAGAGAGGGAGACGGGAAGGTCTGATCAAACATCTACCATTAGCTGTTCTTTTTCTTTTTTCCTTTCCAGTACTATGGTCTTTAACATCTCAGTTCACTCTTCTAACCTCTGCATCTTTGTCCCCCCCCCCCCCCCCCGAGCAATTCGCCTCCACCCCTTACATTCTCACAGTGCTGGGACTCCACTCCTGCCTAGTGGGGGCGGGAGGAGGGGGGGGGGGGAGAGTGCCAGAACTCAGCTCCTTCCCACTTTTAGAACTGTGTATTCAAGCAGGGAGGGCAAGAGGAATCCCTCATGTGGAAGCAATAGGGGGATGTAGCCAAAGGGAACTAGATTTGTACATGTTAATTCCTTCCTAAACCCCAAGACAGCTGCTCTTGAAGAATAAATGCAGACCCTGTTCCCACAGCAGGCTATAGGGAACTCAGCTTCCTTGATGGTATTTTGCACATAAGGACAGCTTGAGTTCCTTAGCTCTTCAACCCCTGATTCTGCCCTCCTTCTCCCTCCCTTTAAAAAAAAATAATACTCAGGGTTACAATACAATTGGCAGCGGGAGGTTCCAAACCTGACGTGTGTCATAGACTCCCTCGGGGTCGGCTTTATGGTTCTGCGGTGCCCCCAAGCCAAAATGTGGCGTCCGGCTCGCGGCCGCCTTTGGCCCCAGCTGCGAGAGCCGAGCTCTGTGCCAGGAGGTGTCTGCAGCAGAGCTTGCCCACGCCTGCGGGGGAGGGACTGGGCCGAAAGAGCAGGGTCACAAGCAGCCACCCGCCTGGCTTGTGCTTGAGGCAGGCTGGGCTGGGGGTGTGAGCGGTGTGTGGGGCGCTTTGGGGGCCCGGCGGTGGTGGAGCGGGAAAAGGAGCTCTGTGCCTTTAAAGGGCGCTGTGCAGAGCTCCGGGCAGGAGGCGTGTCTCTTTGCCGGGCTGCAGCTGCCGCCGCCGCTGCTGCTGCTGCTGCTGCTTTCACTCGCGCTCCGCGCGCCGGCCGCACCTCGCCCCCACAGCCCCCGCCAACTGCTGCGCTACTTTGAGGGCAGCATCCGTCCCGGGCTCTGCCTGCCCTGCGCACGCGGCCAGCCCCGCCGAGCACCTGTCCGCCGCGCAAGGTAAGAACTGCCCTCCGGGGCAGGACCCCGGCCGCTCGAGGGGCTCGCTGCCTCTTTGAGAGCCGTGCGTGGTTATTTGTCCTGCCCTCTTTGGAAGGGGGCAAGAAGGGGGCGGGCGGGAGAGCTGGCACCCGGGAGCTGCCGGGCTGGTGATTGCCCCGGGCGTGGTTTGTTGTAAGTGGCATTGTCGGGGTTTCTTTGAACAAATCCAGACCGGCTTGCAGCTGTCTGAGCTGAGCACCGCTGCCTACCAGATTCCTACGGACTGTCTAGATATCAGTCATCCAGCTGGCAAACCCAGTCCCCCAGGTTAGAGCAACAAAAGCAACACCAGCTTCCCCCAAAGTATCCCGGAGATATCTGTTGCTTTGGCTCTCCGGCGCTATATCGCCACGATGTGCCAGGGCAGAATCCGAGTTAGCTTCAAAAGCTTGAGGGGTGTAATCTCCCCTTGGGACCCTGCTTACTTCCTTCTCCGGGTCACGATTTTGTCTTAAAAATGCATCAAGTCGCCTTCCTTAGAAGATTAGCCACCTGAGGAGAAAGGATGAGACGTGCTCTAACTTGGTGGACAATAGTCTGTACTTCATCTGATGTCTCCCCCCCCGCCCCCTTCCCTCCTCCCTTCCTCCGTCCAGTCATTTACTACATTATACAACCAGCCGTCTACTCTATGATAGCCAGTCCTGTCGTTATTGATCAAAGATGAAATTCCACATTCTTTGAGAAGCCATCCATTGTTAACCTGGCTAGTGTCTGTGGCTCTCTGTATTCAAGGGGAAACCTTCCTTTCTGTTCCATGTAGTCGTGACTGCTAATACAGCGTGTGCAGTGAAAATGAAGGAATGCGTTCAAATGAAAACGCTCCCTTCATTTTTTCTTAAAAACTTGTTGGTGGAATAAAAAAAAATCTTTCCCCCACCTTTCCCAGATACTGGGGTGTGTGTGTGTGTGGGGGGGGGAGCTGATGTATGGGGAAAGCCATGCATGTTTGCTTTTGCTGCTTAAAAATATGCTAAGAGTGCATTGCTGTGAAGTCCAAAAGTGCCTGAACAAGTAAATCTATTACATCCTCAGTTCGTTAATTAGGTTGCAAGTCTCTCCAGCAGCTAAAAAATTAATTACCATCTTAAAATGTCATTAATCATCGGCGCAGCAGAAACTTGGTTATAAATCTGGACTAAGCTAATAACAGACAAGGGGGACCTACCGTTTTTATAGCTTGTGGGAGTGGAGTGCAAGTGGGCCGCGTTGTGTTTTCTTTAACTGATAACATCAACATTAATTTTAGTACTTTGGCAAACGTTTAAAGGGGTGGACCGGGTTACTGATTTGTCAGCAAATCTGCAATACTTCTGTGTACCGATCTGGTGGGGTTGGTCAGGTGTTGTAGGAGGCTACTGCTTTCCTCTCACCAGATTGCAACAGCAGGACGACTCTGGTGGCCGACAAGTCTGAGGCGTTAGCAACGATTCACCGAAAAATGTCCAAGGAACAAAGTGTCAGGGACCATATGTCACATGCCGATTCTACATTTCTCTCTGTTATCCTTGTGAGGGAAGCGATCAGGAAGTTAAGCGACGTAAGGCCCATGATATACAAGCTCTGTAGTCAGTTCTTAGTTATGTAGCTGATAATGGAAAGAATTGTCTTAAATTGTTGTGGTAAAAATGTATATCCCAGCAGGTGGCAGCTAAATGGAACTAGATTAACTTTTAGTATAAGAAAAGGACATAAATATATGCTCTGAAGAAGAAAGACCTTGGTAATCAGGTAAAAGGTTAATCATTTAAATGTAATCGCTTAAGGTAATTCTTTAAATACACAATTTAAACGAATCCCCCTTTTCCTAAGGACACATTATTTACATAAGATCATTGTATACACAGGGCGCACACACACACACACACACACACACACACACACACACACTTAGTAGGCTTTTAATACCCAGCATAGTTTTTAATTAACTTATGCAATGTCTACTTAAGTTTTTTTTTTTTTTTTGTAGCTGAAACATGTATTTTCATATCTGCTTCCCTGTGCGCTGGCCCTGGATACTAAAAACATGTAGCTACCAGGCTCCGTATGGTGAAGTTGAAGAACAAAACAAGACTTATAACAAGAAACTGAATATTTCAACCCTATTGTGGCGGATTATTGGTATGTGGAGGATAGGATCCCAGTGGACACCAGCTTCAGCTAGCCCTATATCAGAAAAGGATTGAATAGCGGGGTTGACAAGCATTGAAAAGACCAGCTCCCTCAGTAAAATACTGTATAATTAGCCGTGTTAATCCTTTAGATGTGTACAGTACTGGGAACGAAAATGCAATGAGGGGTGCTATGGCGCTTTTCAGTTTCCATACTAAAAATAGTTTAGAAGAGAGAGAGTTTTTTAAAAGGTGTTTAATAATGGGGAAATGAAACTGAAATCCTCTTAACAGATGGGAATCTGGAGGTGGTGGAGTTTGAGGCTTTGGCTAATTATATATTTTATAAATGGGTTTTAGCCACCAAATGTAGGCAAATGTTTTTTGTTTTTTTTACTGAGTTTTAAATATTCGGTGGCTTGCAAGACATTCCTTACCAGAAAGTAAGGACGCCATGTAAGAATTCTGAGTTAACCACAATCTTCCTTGAGAAAAAGATATTTTCATAAGATACTAGAGAAATGTATGGTAGGACATAGGAGATATTCAAGGCAACCCTGTGAAATACCAATAAAAACACAGTCCAGCCAACATAGTAAAGAATAGAGTGTATCTTTAAAAGTGTAGATAAAATACATTAATTCCCTTTCTGTATTGGGAAACTATTGGAGGGGGAAAATGTATTTTGACACCTAAAATCACACACGGCTTAGGTAATATAGCTCAACAGCAGTAAGGCTTAAGGAGTGGTGCTCTCCGTGGTGCTGAAAAGGGAATGCAGCCCTCCTATCGACACCATATTTCAGCAGGACAGGTCCAGTCACTGTCCATGGTGGTGAGTGCTGTCAGGTTAGTGTTGGACGGTTATTGAGAGTGAAAAGTTAATTTGAGTGTCATGCGTGTGCACAGGTTTTGGAATGTAGAATACTGAATATCTAATTTTAAAAGCCATTTATAATGGATGGTTTTGAAGTTTCAGTGATTGTATAAGATCCTTGGCAAGTTGGGAATTTTGTTAGGATTTTTTTATATCAGGTAGCTGCCTATTTGTCCAGGTAGTTTAGAAAATAAGTTTGGATAACAGATGGTTAAAATTGTTTGTTTTCATTTCTTGATTAATGCGCTGCATTTACAAAATAAGACAATGAATCTTATAATTTCCCATGCTTTTTTAAAGTTCATTCTATAAATAGTGCTACATTCTGATAATTCGCAACACAATGAGCATTTGAAGATACCTAACCTCCGCTAATTCATCACTGTAGCAAAATTAAGAATGCTCAGTTACCACCCAGGTCAGTTTTATTCCTCCTTGGACCAAGATAAGATATAACAGATAGATCAGAGTAAATGAAACAGCAAATACATGAAAGAATACCTCAAACTGTACATTTTCCTGAGAGTTATTCTAAATGGGAACTGAAGGAGTCGCTAGATATCCTTGCTTTTAGCACTAGGTGTTCTTTTTAGAGTACTCCAATAGTCAAATCATTTGACTGAATTCCCTGCTAGACTGCAGAACTAGCCATTCATGATACTTATTTTTGACACTGCAGTTATGCCTCCATTTTAAAGACAAGAAATCAGTAATGTTTAATAATCCCCTCGCAGAATATTTTATCAGTATTTTTACAATATAAGAAGATGATATGGGCAGATAAAATCAGGGTAGAAAGTTATTGTGAATTGTTAACACTTTTAGGAACACATGGTTTCTAGAACATAGGTAATTTCATTTTAGTATCACTTATTCTGCATGTCTAAAGTATGCATAGAATTATTAAGAATTAACCATAACTCATGTCTGTGTTGTTACACTCCTGATAGGTCCAAGAATGTGTTTCTTCAGTCTGACGTTCTGTAAAGCCAAATCTATGCTGTCTTCATCTGTGATAAAAATCTCTCTCATTGAGATTTTCTTCAGCACTAAAGAGAGGGCAGAGCCCAGGCAGACTACAGTTTAATCTGCCTTCATTTTCCTTGTGGGATACTAGGAATGGTCTCTTAATATCTATAATAAAAACCTAAAATAGCTTCAGTGAAAGCTTCACTTTCAGATTTTTTTTTAAATCGCTGTCCATTCTCGACCAGTGTGTTTTTAATGAATGCACATAGGAGCGAATACACAATTCAAAGTATCTTAATTGTTTTTCCAAGGAAAATCTGAATGTTGCTGAAAATGAGTGCACCTTTATATGGAATACAATGAGGAAAAAAAAAAGTCCAGAGCTGTTTTAAGATGCAAATTAAATGTCCCAGAAGCAAACTAGCAAGCACTGTTATACTTACTGAGGATAGTGGAATATTATGTGTATTTAGACTACACTCCTATTTTAACCATAGGTCTCGCTATGCAAGTATAAACAGTAGAACCTTAATAAAATCACAGTGAAAGAGAGTTTAGTACCAAAGATAGGCATTTTGGACTGTAGCATATGAAACCTGTAAATCTACACATTCTCTCTTACAGATAGCATTGTCGTTTTAAGCAAACTGAGCGAAATGAATATGTAGGACTTTCAATTCAGAATTAGATGTATTTATTTTTTTAACACTGCAAAATTGTTCTGTACTTTGCTAAAGCTTGGATGTTCAATGATCAGAGTCCCCTACAAGTTGCCAAAAGACAGGCAGCATACAAGTCATGGCGTTTACATTAATAGCATTAAATGTGCATAAGTATTAGAAAGTGAATTAAACTATTGGGACCTTTTTAGCCTAAGCCTTAGCCGGATACCCTTCATGACATACGGTCACCCCTTGTAATACCTCCTCTTGCAGAACTCTGAGGCTAAGTGATTTCCACCCAGCTAGTCAGCTGTTAAAATTCATGAACTGATTTTTATAGAACCGCGCGCGCACGTACACCATAGCTGCCCCTTTGCAGGAAAATAGCTATTGTTGAAAATAAACAAAAATAATAATTGTACGCACGTCAGTAAAACGGAGCTGATTTTTCAACAAAGCGAGGCGATCAGGTCGGTTGCATGGCAGAAATTGGGAAGGCTGTCTGGCAGGCAGCCGTAAGAAGCGAAGAGCTATCTCAAATTTTCTCACTTAATCTTGGCTTCACGTCAGAAGCTGTGCAGCAGTGCAGTAGAATGGGAGCACAGCAAAAGCTTCGCTACTAAAACGCCTGGAGCTCGTTGACTCTCGCTATGTGGCGATAGCTCAGCGATTTCTCGAGCTGGATTACTTATTGATTTCCCTCCTTTCTTGCTTCCCAGGTTTACCCGGCTGGACATTGTGTGTGTTTGGATTTCGCGAGGATTCTCCCTTGACTAACATGGATGTCCCACCATTCCTTGCAGTTGAAGGTTGCTCCTTGGCGCAGTGAATGAAGAACATGCAGGGATTGCTAATGGGTTTGGGAAGCGTAGACTCTCTCCTCTCTCTGTGACCATGCCGTGATCGTGTCTGAGGGCTAAGAGTCTACGTATCCTCATTCTTACCCTACCGGGGAACCTGACGCTTAGAAGGGGGAAGTAAGGCAGCGCGTGTGTGCATAGAAACACCATGAAGATTATTTCCCCGATTCTAACTAATCCAGTCTTCAGATGCACCATTAGACTCCTTCTTTGCTTTTTGTGGATTGGATATTCGCAAGGAACTACACATGTGTTAAGATTTGGTAAGATTTCCCCTGCACTTTACATTGTGTATTTCAAGCTGAATAGTTATATGCATGATTATGTCAATAGGTGGGGAGCAGGGAGAGATACGAGGCTCCGGGGGATGCTTTTTGAGTCAGTTACCGAAGACCCTCTTTATTTTGTGTCCGCATGGCTAAATTAATGTTTGGTTTTTGTGTCGCCGATTATAGTAATAAATAATCATAGGAAAAAAATGACTGTCAAACGTGCTTCCCGGAAGCTCTGCGGGGTGATCAGAGCTTGTGTGGTTTCCTCGTGCTGTGCCTTTTTTGTTTCCATAGCAGTAGGAAACGCGGCTAAAATAGCTGTTGATTAGTTAACAATCTGACAACTAGTTGGTGAGTTTCGACCTCCAGCTTTTCCATGGCCCTCTCTGAGTTGGAGCGTCAGGGCAGATTCAATATTAATGTGACACTGGAAGAGACCTTCCGTTCTGTTGTTCTTTTAGTTTACTTTAGTGGGGGTTCCGCTGTAGTAGAACAGATTCTTTATCAACAATTAGTGGGATGCCAAAGAGGCATTGATGCAGGGCTATGACACATTTCAGAAAAGCTCCTCTCATCAGGGAAAATGACTTGGTCATTATTTCCCCTGTAAGACAAAGAGACTGGGAGATGTCACAGGCAGATCAGTGAAAGCAAGCGTAGCGGTGTCCCAGATCAAAGAAATACTCAGCGTCTCGTGGAAACTAGTATTAGAAACCGGGAGTGACATTTCTGATAGAAAGCCTCCCACATATAGGGTTGCTTCAGGGGAGCAGAAGCAAGAGGAATGTTCAACAACAGCTCGAAGCTCATGTTGTTTCTTGCCATTGGGGCAGACCTGGGCGTGAAAAGTTCTGTTAAGTAAGAGTTAAGGTGGTGAGAATTGCGAAGAGCACTGATCCATTCAACAATCGCCAGCCTAAGTGGTACTAGCTTAGCGTTTGTGTGTGACTTACTCTCTCAGATTGTACACACGTTGGAAAAGTTGCCGTGCCAAACAAGCCCATCCTGTGTGCCAGCTTGTTATGTATGCAAAAGAAAATACTGCTTTTTCTTTTCTGTAGCTTCATTTTTACACTGTAGCAACTGCAGGAGCCATAAATAGCTCTCGTTTGCTTGGGAAAGGTAGAATGTCTTGCAGTTCTTTTTAAAAAAATCATTTTCGTGTTGAATGGAAGGCTGGTAATGATTAAGAAGGCGACTGGTTGCTATTGATCTCGTGTGCTGAATTCCTAGTGTACTTTCTTTTGCCTTCATCTGGTCTAAAGGTGGTGCTTAAGGCACGTTGCTCTTAGCAACCATCTTCAGGAATGCTTGTTTCTTTGGACACGGCTAAACAGGTCCATATATCACCACGGGGTTTATTTTGCATTGAATCGGCTCCGTTGGCATTGCAGTGCAATCATGCAAGGGCTGAATGTCGCCTGGCGCTGCCCAGTTATCCGTCTGTACCCGAAACAGGTTCACAATTGTTGCTGAGCGTTGGTATCTGTGCGTTTGAATTACTTGCAGAGGTAGCTATGAAAACAAGCACCCTTCCATCCCCACCATCGCAAACGCTGATTTGAGGGGTAATTGAAGCTGTCCTCGTCAGTAGCCGCATCCTTGTTGAATTGTGAGGCTGGAACACTTATTAGAATATCATTGATCAACCTGTGTTTTTATGTTAGAAAAATAACAATCTTAAGGTCACAGCGGGGTTTTATAGGGTGCCTTTTCCAAAGGGCTGCTCTTGACAGCATATAGTGTGTTTTTCCTAGACTAACTTCCTTTCCCAATCTGTCTCCCGGACATACATCTCGGTTTTGGGGTTAGACTCCGATGGCTGGTGTTCACACTGGTTTGCTGCAACAAACTAGAAAGACACTTTGGAAGCATTTGGTGCCTTTCTGTGCTTAAAAAGTCACCTTTTCTCTCGGTTTCTGCGGGTTGGGGGCGGGGCGGCAAAGTTATTTTTTTTTCTCATGTGGAGTCCTGGGAGTGAGGGAAAGGGCTTCTTTTTGCTTGTCAGCGTGGCCTGTTGCATGTCTGTCGTTGTGATCGAGTTTAGCTTTTAATTTCGTCCAGGAGTAAAACTGCCCTTATGCCCAATGTGTAAGAGAAGGGCTGTGCGTTCCCAGGAGGGTCAGATCATTTGGCTGGGGGAAGCTGGAAATAACAACTGTGTAATGAAAATCTTGAATTATTGTAAGTGGTAATCCTGTCGCGCCCCCCTCTCCCCGGCCCCCGTTCCCACCGTGCTACATGCCACTCCGAAATGCCCTTGCTACTGAACTGATGGGTTGTCTCTTGTTGCCCATCGGAGTTTTCCATGGGTCTAGGCGGGAGCGCAGAAGATTGCCTTTAAAAGGCAGCCTGCCAGCCCCCGCGTTTCCTTCTTCGCTAGCAGCGCTATGGCAACAGGGGAGATCTCGTAGCTTGCCAGAGCTCCAGCCCCCTCATTCTTCCTGTGCAAATGAACCCACGATAGATTCGCGTTGTCCTTCCCACGGCGGTGCCACTGTTGGGACTAGCCGGCGTGTCCTGACAGCCTCTCTCTCTCTTCAAGCTACTTTTCAGCAACAGCACAGGAAAGCCGAATGCCCGGGTTATTTGTCATAGGCAGACTTATTTTTATCCACGCGCTTTGGATCGAACCCAGGAATGGCTGATAACTAACTCTCCAGTAGCCTTAAGTCAACCTACCCTTCACCCATCCAGTCCAGTTGCAGGAAAAATGTCTGCGTGGATTTCTGACTCCTGCTGCTGGAGCAGGACCAGCTAATATTTTGGCACCGCAATAAAGCGATCCCTTATAAATGGCATACAGCCAAATCTCTCGTTGCAGTTCCTGAATACTTTCCTATACACAAGCCCAGAAAGCAATAGGCACGAGGCATGCACCCATGATAGTCATGAATTTGAAAGAGAATTAAGGCAAGGCACTGAAAATAGTATTGTGATTATAACACGAGGGTCTAAATTTAGAATAAAAGGAAAGGTCAGGATGGTGTCTTATCATTTGCATCACTGTTGTCTCTGCTGTGTTAAGTCAGACTCTGGCAGAAATCCATACTTTTGCTCTTGGAGTTATACAAAAGCAGAAATGCATAGGTAAGTCGGTCCGTGGTTTTTAAATTTACTGTTGACTTATAAGAAAAGCAGGCCCTATAACCTGAAACAAATACATCTCTGTAGACATCATTAAGCCACTCCATAAATCAGTCCACCTTCACCGCCACTCATGATGGTCTTTCCATCACTATATTTTTGTTTGCCCACAGCAGCCTAATGACACGCAAAAGTGGGGTTACTGTGTTAGTGACAGGTTTCAGAGGAACAGCCGTGTTAGTCTGTATTCGCAAAAAGAAAAGGAGTACTTGTGGCACCTTAGAGACTAACCAATTTATTTGAGCATGAGCTTTCGTGAGCTACAGCTCACTTCATCAGATGTTATACCGTGGAAACTGCAGCAGACTTTATATACACACAGAGAATATGAAACAATACCTCCTCCCACCCCACTGTCCTGCTGGTAATAGCTTATCTAAAGTGATCAACAGGTGGGCCATTTCCAGCACAAATCCAGTGAGAGCTCCAGACCAAAGCATTTCAGGACCAAGGTAAGCAACTTTGGCTAATGCTGAGTTTAGATGCACCTACTACTGATTCTTGGATATTTTTTTTTTAAATGTCCACGATATTTTCCTAGTGCATAATCACCTCCCCAGTCTCCTCTTCAAAGCACCACAAGCTGATCAGAAGCAAGCAGTGTTTAAGAACTGGAGTCCTCTGGTTCTAACAAAACAAAACTGGACAAAGGCACTGGGAGGTAGCAGGAATCCTGGTGTAAAAGCAGCGCCCAGTAAGTACTGTTAGTACTAAGAGGTTAATCATGACAACTACATACAGTTTATAACAACAGTGACAATTCATCACTCTCCAGTGTGGTATGGGACCATAGAGCATTTAAAAACATTTGGCTACTTCAAGTAACCTATTTTAGATGTTTTGAGCATTTTAAAATGCCTCATCTTATTTAAATTGCACCTTTCAGGATTTCTAATTCATGCTAGGCCCTTGCAATATTTAACAGCAGGAATCTGAGGCCAGACAGATCCCGTTTTCTCTTTGTCCTGGTAGTGCATGGACATCATCAGCGTGACAACTGGCTGGAATCAGGAGAACAGAATTTGGTCACTAGGGATTAATTTACGTTTCCTCTAATTACAAGTGTTGTCCATGAATGTATATTGAAGACACAAAGCTCTGAACCGTGAGTGGTCCCTTGACCTTATGTCACTCCCTCTCTTCTCTTTATTTTCAATGTCACTGTAAAAACAATCCTACAAGGAAATGAAATCACAAAATGCCACTTCAACATACACAAAAGAAAGGAAGGCTGAGAATCAGGACTACAACTCCCTATAGAAAGTGACCTTTTGTTGCTCAGATGTTGTGGATGTCTCCAATAAAAAAAGATTTCAAGCCTATGGGGGGATGTAGCTGAATATTGTGAGTTAGTTACTCTTCTAAACTTACTTGCACAGATTCTTTCCCCTGAGGGTGCAATAGCAAAGGAAGGTCCAACTCTCTAGGGGAATGCGGTGGAACTGTCAGAACTGCAAGAACTTCAGGTTGAACTCTGAAAAGCAACTAAACTGAGACCATCTCAAAGAAAGCATAGGAAATATTGATCCGTTCCCTTATCAGCTCCTTCAAGTATTACATATGCCTGTTTGCCCTTCATCAAATTGGAGAAAATATGTTCAGAAAACAACTGAAAGTGGTTTTATTGTCTTAAAAATAAAAAAGAAAACTCACCTTATTTTTGGTCTCTTTTCTAATGGCTCCCAGTGACAGGAATGACTGCACAGCAGGGGCTTCTTCAATGAAGATTTGGCATTTGGGCTTCATCGCTGTTGTTGCTCTGTTGTGTTCATTCCCACTGAGCCAAATGAGTCTTTTCATAGAAACTTTTAGCATGTGCCTGAATAAGTAAGACACTACATGGC